AGCAGTGATGATCTCATTATCGTGCTTTTTTTCTCCCATCTTTCATCCTTCCATTTTGTTGGCTGAACTGATTCTACCCTCTCTTTTTATGCTTCTCTTCTCTTGTGACTTTTGAGGTTAGGGACTATTAGTGTCTCTCAGGCAGACTCCTTAGCTTTGCTTTCACAGTCTGAAACGCAGGGACTGTTTCTTTTGTTCATGCTTAGCTGGTCAGTGCCATTAATATTTGGACTTCATGCATTGATGGCGTCCCTTCTCTTATTCAGTAACCTAACACCCTCCCCAGGTTTTTGGGATTATTTGATTTGCTGTCTTTCCTTTTTTTTCAGCCTAGCCTATTCATAAGCTGAACCTTCCCTTTAAAAAGTATTATTGAAAAGTGGAGGTGTCAGCAGGTTTATTTTACTTATTCTTTAGAGAGTGACAAAACAGGGGTGGCATGGTGGCGCAATGGTTGGCACTGTCACCTCACAGCAAGAAGGTTCCAGATTTGAGCCCTGGCCGACCTGGCTCCTCCCTGTGCTTGCATTGGCTTGCTCCGTGTACTCCCGCTTCCTCCCACAGTCCAAAGACATGCATCTTAGGGTTGATTGGCAACTCTAATTTGCCCATATGAGTGAGTGTGGGTGTCTGTGGTTGTTTGTCTACATGTCAGCCCTGTGATAGACTGGTGACCTGTCCAGGCTGTATCCCGTCTCTCACCCAATGTCAGCTGGGAATTCCTCCAGCCCCCCTGCAACCCTGTTCAGGATAAGCGGTTTAGATAATGAATGGATGGATTGAAGACATAAAATTAGATGTAAATAATAGATTTTTAACAGATTTCTTACCAACTTCTAATAAAATGATGGCATACCTTTTTCTTCCCTTCTTCTCAAAAAGAAAAGTGAGGGCTAAAGGGACTTGCTCAGAAACCAACCAGGTCCAGTTCAACAGTTTCTGTTTCCAAAGAGAGCTGTTCAAGCATAGTTGATGCCACATTGTTTGACAGAGTGCTGTTTATGATTCCCCATCATGTTTGTTTTCCATACTTAGAAGAAGGTTGGTCAGGATGGGATAATTTGATCCTGGGTGAGGCAGGGTTAGTGGCCTGAAAGGACCAGAATGAAAACAGGGCATGTCTGGACCGCAACTATAAATGCTATTTAATTCATATTTTTGTACTAAAGTCAATGATCGTGCTTTGTAATGTTCACAAGCAGGATAACATTGTTCTTAGTCTTTGGATAAACTTTGAATTATAATTGGTAGTCTGAAAGAAGATATGTTAGACCCCCTTTTTTTTTCCTATTTTGTTTTCAAGTCAGTATGTTATTATATGAAGAATTCCAGCAGGGAAACAGGGTTAACATAAGAGGTGTAGTTGTTACAGTTTAGGGTTTTAGGGTTGTCTGACATGTGGCAATAAGGATGTGTGTGTGTTTCCTCTTCTGGATTGGGCTCTGAATATCAGACTATACGTGTGCGTGTGTATGAGTGGCCTGGTATTACTCATATTGTTGAGACGTAAATCTGTTTGCATGGTCACATTGTGAAGGCACTTATGGGGACAAAAAGCAATTCCCCAAAATGTAAATCATTACATTTTGGAGCAATACCTTGGTTTAAGGTTGGTGTTAGAGTAAGTAAGTTAAGTCTCCAAGAAGTTAATGCACAGTGAGTCAATGTAATGTCCCCTGAAGTTACAGAATACAAGATGTAAATACATAACACTGATTAAAATGCTCTTGTTAGATGAATTGTCTAACATTTTCTAGAAGCTGTTTAATATCGGTTGTGTGCAATGTGTGTTTAAGCTGTTTATCAGCCTTTTCAGCCTTGAATTTTCATATTTTTTGTGTTCATGAATTACACACAGCAGCACATCATTTTAACACCTCAGAATATGTAAATGTTATATGAATGTGCATGAAAACACCCTGTATAACCCAATTGTAAGAGCCAATCTGAAAAATGTTTAGTTTACGTAGTTATTAAGAAAACATAGCCAACATAGCTTTATGTTTTGGAATAATAAGTTTGTTTTATACAATGTGCTCTAGACATGTTATGTTATGGCATATTGTTGTTTGTTAACCATGTGACCGGATGTGTTTTTTGTTTTTTGGAAGGTTCGGACGGTCAGGCTCTGAGCACACAGTTTTTCTGACCGAGTTATAAGCAAGTAATTTGTCAACCAGGAAACGTTTTATTTGTATGTTTATTTTTATTTAGTAAACCCTTCGTAAAAACCAAGAACTGGACTGTGGAACTTGTTTATGTCGTGTCATACTTACTGCATAAGACCTGCACCGTAAAGCGGCACTAAAGGCTAAGGAGTACCGCTACACCAATTGTTGTCTACTTTTCTTGTCAGCTACTGAGGTGGAACTAATGTGCCTCCTCTTGTAGTGCGTCACATCACCCCAAACAAAAATACAGTGACACTCCTATTGGTTTGAAATTGAAATTAATATGTACGGTATGTCCTGCCTATCCAGTTATGTCACCATCCACTTCTCTCCCTCTCTCTGGTCACTGGATGAATGGCTGTTTGTCAGCTATACTCAAGTCATTTTCTACTCTATCAGTTAGAAATTTACAAGCTCTTCCAGGAACTCCCTCCTGCGTTTAACAGACCTGTCAAACATATTCACTGTAAGAGGAAGCTGTTGTTGATACTGACGTGACCTTCCTGTATAAAACAAGTTTGGTGGGCTGTGTCATAATGCCTTGGAAGATGCCCAGAATCCTATCACAATGATTTCAGAATTTTGGGATTAGCTTCAGGAAAGACCCAGATATGATTAGATGACTGTGTTAATGTCAAAGCCACAGATTGTGTAATGTCTGTGTATGTTTCTGCTATGAATTAGAATAGCCTGCAGGTTTTATGAGGACACTGAAGTTGATGAAGGATTAGATGTGATGATGGGGGTTGATAGAAGGTGCTCAGACCAGTCACAGAAACTGCAGGTGGTTACTTGGCACTCTTGCACTTAAGTTTGCTTACAAGAGGGGTTTGTGTGTGTGTGTGTGTGTGTGTGTGTGTGTGTGTGTGTGTGTGTGTGAGAGAGAGAGAGAGAGAGAGAGAGAGAGGGCATGTCATTTACATGAGTGTAACAGTATGTGAGAAGGCGGTGCAATACGATCTCCTCCCTTTCCTTACCTGGTCCTTCTCTCACATGATCTGACTATTGTTATGTGAATATTTACGGACCGCTACAATTCTGCTTGCTTGTAATTTTGGTGTCTTGTAAAGTACCATGGCAGCATCTTGTAAACCTTTGTTCATAAATGTTAAGCAAATGTCTGCAAGATAGACTTGCACAGAAGCATATCTTCCTACCCTGTCCTGTGTACCCTATCACAAACACCATCTCTCTCTTTTGCATTGCTGGCCTTGCTCATGTGATCATACACATTTAGCTGACGCGCCAATGGTTTTAGGTGCAGAGATGTCCTTGTATGAAGGGCACAACTGGTTGAGCAGCAGAATGTAATCATAATGCATGTCTGAAACCAGAGGCATTTCTTTAAGCACTAGACTAGTTGTTTTTCTAGCATGTTTTTCATAAGTCTAGCAATTGTGGTGGCAGTGGATCTTCATTCTGCCATGGACTTTGCGTCCGAGAGCCTCAGAACACCTTGTTGACTCCAACAGCAGTCAGAACAGAGAGATTCCTCTTCTGTATGACAATGACACATTTCCTTGCTTAAGCCAAGGATTCTGTCTGCTGTTTACAGACTCAACCAGATCTAAAATAACCTCCAGTTTGGTTTAACCCTTTGGTGGTCATTGGGATACAGGCTCAGTCAGGACTGACAAGCCAGCTGCTGCTGTGTAGCGTGAAAAACCCATCCCATCTCTTGTACCTTCTATCTCAAGTGTGTTTTGTTGGTCTTTCACTCTCATTTTGGGATAATTTTCCTTTTTCTTTTACACTCGTTTATTTTCTGCCTGGCTCAGTTTTATTTCTTGTTCTTGTTCCCTCTGCTCACATGAAAGCAAAATCATTTCTCTGTGATGATTTTGTCTCAGAGTAGGGAGCAAGAATGGTCAGAGGGAGCATACATCATATCCACATATCTGTAATGTGGGATTTACCATCTGACACAGAATAGAAATAAGAGAACCTTCTTGTGGATTTGTTTCTGTTTTAAGTATGTCTGTACAGCAAAACACAGGGTGATTATTTATTCTGCCAACCATAAGATGATATGGATAAATACAGTCTTTCTAAATCTCAGCCACTAAATATGCTTGAAGGCAAATCATTTTAAAATAGGTGAACACCAAAATAATCACAAGTTATGATCAACTGGGCCAGGTAATGCTTTTTCAATGACCTTAGACCAGTTGAGACTGCCGCTGCAGTTTGTTACATAGAGGTTTTCTGCTATAATCAATGCTTGGTACAGTGCTGCAACTAAATTAGTCAGAAATTTAAATGCTACATAACATGAACAATGAACAATATCTAGTCACATTAACATGTGTCCAAATGACAGATAGGGAGCCCTACATGGTTCTGAAGGGTTGGTGAAGATGATCTGTCAGCCAAGCCATGTGCACAAACATTTTTTTTTTTTGTGGAATTATTGTCTCTTATACTTCACATTCAGTTTGGGGTAGTAATTCAGAGTGCAGAATAACAAATTGCTGCAAAGCTATTGATTCTCATTGAAAGTGAACTAGTGGTCAGAACAGTTCAAGTGTAATTTGCCATCAGTGATTTGTTTTCATTATCTAGCAAACGCTGTCATTTCTGTCTTTAGTCTTCACAAGTCTGTTATGACAATGATTTTTGAGTTGGAGAGGGGAAAAAGGTCAGACTGTGCTTGCCTTTGTATTGTTTGTAATAAAACATGATAGCCTGAAAACAATTGCCTCTAGAGAGGCCCAAATGTTAGTGACCCTGATTATTATTGAAGAGTTGCTCATCATTGTTGCCCCTCAGGTTGTGTTTGTTCATGTTTGTGCAGTCATGTGAAGCCATTGTCCTTAACAGCCTTCGCAGCATCGAGAGCAAGCATGAAGTGACTATCCTCAGCGGGCTCAATGAATTTGTAGTGAAGTTTTTCGGACCACAGGGCAGTAAGTGTTTCTTTCTTCTGATTTGACAAAGGAAACATTTTTTATACATACACATGAAACAAGTTTCCTAATTCTCTGCTAAATCTTTGTTGGGCTAATTTATGTGTTTCAGAATCTTTTGGTTTAGAGTTGGGGTTTTTTTGTTTTTTTGTTTTTTAACCCATACTCCAAGAACATTAAATATACATGCACCGATTAATTTAATAGGTACACCTGTACAATTGTATGCGGTTCAGTGCAACACTTCCACCTTAACACTTGTGTTTATAAAAGCTCAGATTGTTTCATATTTTGGTGAGGTTGTCATAAATGTATAATTGAGTTTATTATGTTTATTATTGAGGTCATAGTTAAAGGTGGTGTTGTACTGGACTACATTATATTCAGAGGTGTTCCTACTGTTCTGACCCTCACATATGTAGCTGTTGAGGACAAAAATATATATCTAATGGAAGTGTTGCATTTAATTGCACAGAGTTGTACAAGTGTACCTTTTAAAGTGGCTAGTGAGTGTATTATGAAACATAGCGAGCTAGGAACATAAAACGGATTAAAACCAGGTCTTGAGGCCACAAAGTTTAAAACGGAGATGCTTGATTAAAACTGATGGAAGAGGAGAGCAGCCTCATCAGCGGAAATACTTACTGTGTGTGGTGTTTGCAACACGTTTCACACTAAAACCACTGCCACTTGCATCAGTACAGAGGAAGTTGGTGTTTGAGCCCGTTTATGATACCTAGAAACTATGCCAAATGGCACTGTTGTGTGCGTATGTGTACGTATGCACATGCTCACTGCCATTCATTCTCAGCGAGTGTTTTCAGTCATCTACTGTATATGCTTTTCAAATTCAGTCCAGCACATGAGGGTCCTGTTACACACAGCTGTTCTGGGAGAGTGACACACACACACACACACACACACAATCTCATACTCTTGTTCTTTGATGTTAGTGTATTATATGAAGTCATTTGGAAGTAAGAATTCTCCTGGGTTAAAATACATTACTGTGGAAAAAAAAATTGGCAGAGAGAAGTAGCTTGTATAGTTCTCAAGTGGTCCTCTCTCTGCGGTGTGTCCGAGTAGAGGAATATTGAAAATTGATGTAACTGTAGATGAAGGAAGGGATATGATCAGTAAAATGCAAGTCTTTTCTTTGTTCTCATGCACAGCACCGTACGAAGGAGGCGTGTGGAAGGTGCGAGTAGATCTTCCTGACAAATACCCTTTCAAATCACCATCAATAGGTAGGAGCTCTGTCACATGAAGCATAATGATAAGGCCTCGTTTGTCTGGGTTCCACTTTATGCTGTCCTTATCTCTGCCTTGTTTTGTAGGATTCATGAACAAGATTTTTCATCCAAACATCGATGAAGCGTAAGTTGATTTCAATCATTTGAAATGTTTATGGTTGATTTACGTCACTTTGACACTGCAATGGCAGCATAGACTTTTGGATTATTGATCCTTAACACTCATATGAAGAACTAAATATTTGCTTGTAGTTATGGCATATTGTAAACAGCTGGCCCGTCATATTGTCAACTAAATGCATTTGTTGATTTAATATTTCCTATTTTTTTTTATAAACTTTTCTGACAAGTTCTCTTTGAGTGTAGCGAAAAAGATTATGCTTATGCTATGAACTACACAACTTTTGAATGAGTCACCAATTTTGGTACAATCGGCCGGGAGCAGCAAATCACACACATACTGAACCTGCCTCAGCTCTTTGTTTCTCTGAGGTCATTAATCCGGCTCCTCTGAAGGACACGGTTTGTAAAGGTGGGTCCCTAGGAGGACCTGATGAACAGGCTGAACCTGTGCTTCCTCTGCAAATGAGATAATCTGACCTCACAAAGGCCAAAAATAAGTGTGTATTCAGGCTGTTCTTATCAAAGTGTTAAAATTTATCATGATTGGGACAGCATTAAGGTCTATCACATTTCAGTTTAAAACATAATAGACAACCACAGCATTAAGGTCTGTCTGTGTAACTATCTCATTTCAGTTTAAAACATAATAGACAACAAGCAAACACTGTATGAAGTCCATAGGAAATGTAATAATGCAACAGTGATTTCTCTGCAAACATTTCTTTACTTGTTTGTCTAGTGGATTTTTTTCATTTCATGTCATGCACACCTGACTGGCATGCTGCTTAATATGGGATACTAAAAGCTAGAAGAACTAAAGCAGATTTTGATCTAATTTTGGCCACCTTTGATGGAGTACTTGATGAACAGTGAACATATTCAGTTAAAGATGGACAGAAGATCCAGCCTCTGGCTAGGACACAACACACACACATTCCCTCTTACCTCCCTTTCACCCCTCTAACTTTGTTTCCTTCCGTTTCCCAGGTCAGGCACAGTGTGCTTAGATGTCATCAACCAGACATGGACAGCCCTTTATGGTGAGTGGCCTCGCTGCTTTTGTTTCCATATCAAGTTTCCTCAGTGGGGTTTGTGTGATTGTGTGTGAAGAACTTGACACAGTGTCATCAGCACTAATAACAGTGTAGTGCCCTCATCAGCACGGTCAGAAAACGCGCTCCTTCTACTGCCCGTATGCTCTCAATGGCTGCTATTATACTCACCCATTTACTCTTCTCTTTGTCCCCATGTCTTTCTGCTTCTCTCCCTGTATATTCCCCCATTAAGCTGTCATTATAGCCCTTCCACAAGGCTAATATTGCTGTTGAGCAGTATAAATGACTTTACGCTAATATCCCCAGCAGATGTTTGAGCATCCTATTTATTTTCACTGGTATTCTGGATACGACTCGGAGCTGAATGTTAAAGCCTAAAATGGCATTTCAGTGACTTCATTGTTTTTGATTAGATTTTCTAATTTGAGATGACAAAGAATGTCATCAGATCAGGTAGCTTGCTGTGTTCTTTTTTTTTTTTTAATCAAGTCAGACTTTTTGCTGAGAATTGCATTTGTGTTGCGTTATCTTTCTTTGTGCTGCAGAGTTTATTGTGTTGTGTTTGAAAGAAGAAAATCAAATTTGGATGGAAAGAATGGGTCAATCAACCAAAGTCTGTGTGAAATGACTGCAAAAGGAGAGGGAACAAAAACAACAGATTAAATCAACTAAACATGAATAATGCAGTACAATAGACTGTAGGGAAGTGTTTGTTTTTCCCAGTTTCAATGGATCCAACAGTGACACCTAGAAGAAGAGAGATGAATTGCAAGTTTTCTACTAGGCCTCAGCACTGTGAGAAAGCTGGGGCCTGCTAGCAGCGAGCTAGTGAAAGGGATTAGTGTTGCTCTAGCCTCAGACGCTGTTTGCCGGAGGATTTTTGGTTCTGCTTGCTAGTATATACACTATATCTTTGATCCTTTTTGTATGGTAATCGCTGACTGATGTGTATAAATTGATTAGGATCTTTCCTGTGACCAGTAACAGGGAAATATTTTTTTCAAATGATCCCTCCTCCAGATTAATGGTTAGATTTGGGTGAAGCCTGACGGTAACTGCCATTAAATGATCACCAGATTACACTAAATGACTTTTTACTTATGTCATGGTTGGTAAAATGACTTTACTGTTGTCTGCTTCCCCAGATCTGACCAACATCTTTGAGTCGTTCCTGCCCCAGCTGTTGGCTTACCCAAACCCCATCGACCCCCTGAATGGAGACGCCGCTGCCATGTACCTTCACCGGCCAGAGGAGTACAAGCAGAAAATCAAAGGTTTTGCATAATCAAGATTCCAGATCCCTTTAGACTTGGTGCACACCAAAAGGTTTTTGCCATGTGCTTTCTTTCTGTCTCTGATTCTGTGCCTTTCCCTCTTCAGAGTACATCCAGAAATATGCAACAGAGGAGGCGCTGAAGGAGCAGGAAGAGGGGGCAGGCGACTCTTCATCTGAAAGCTCCATGTCTGATTTCTCAGAAGACGAGGCCCAGGACATGGAGTTGTAATGATAGGAGGGCTCCCCCATCCCGCCCCCTCCTAAAACCCCCACAGAGACTATATTTGATTTCCTAACCATGAGAAAGCAGACTTAAAATATTCATATTTAAACAAGGCGATTTTTTTATTATTATTATTGCTAAACAAGGATTTTTATGAATATCTAGCCTTTGGTGTGTTTGACAGACACCCCTCCCATTCTGGAGCCATTTCTCCCTACGCAGATGTCACTTTCACATTCTCTTCCTGTCATTTTTGAGGCATGTCATGTAGTTGTAGGCAGGAAATCTCCCCAGTGAACATCTCATTCCTTTATTCCCATTTCACTTCTTAAGTAGACCTTTCCATTTACACCTGAATCCTAATTTCCTTTCTTTTTCCATTATGCTAATTGACTCTGACCGACAGTTTAGTTGCTCCACCACAGAGCTGTTTAGGCCTTGCCTGCCTGGGTGCACAGCTCTATATTATTATCCTGTAGTCATGACGGTATTTTTAAGGTGCACAGTCATACATGGGGTGTCATAGCAGACCTTAACATAAAAATACAAAAAATGTAGTGCCAATAAATACTAATAAATCAGCCGTAGAGTTTGTGTAGCCGTTTTTTTGTTTTTGCATATGACTGAGACTTGTTAGTTTAGTTTGATATTGGCTGTTACATCAGTAATTCTTTCTTACTCTTTGTGT